AATACGTTTCAATGTCGCAAATCCTTACAAATTATATTTTTGCAATTTCCTGACTGTTTGATTACTAATTCGTACTGCAGGCCAGAACGCTACGTGTACATAAATCTGTTCCAAGCGGCCTTGTAGCAGATGGGATTACTCGGACGCAGGTCAGCGATACGATCAATTATTGATGTATTAAACTGAGGAGAAAATTGACTAGCTGCACTTAACGCGTTCCACGTATGTGGTTGACTCAGCTGTGTTATAGACGACACCGTGGCAAGCGAGTACAGGGCTACAAAATTAATTAGTTATAATTCAGCTGATATATTGATATAGTATCCATATAATAGACGTCATAATACGTTAGGTCTCGTTTCGAGTGCATATATTTGCTAAAACGGGGCTAGTTTAATATGATGTGGTGTTTTCACTTTGTTATATGTATATACGTAGCGGCACACCAAAATGTAGACTCGTCATCAATTCACACTGAACGGGTATATCGGGTGAAACAGGCGAATTTGAATAAAACCAGGTCACGTTGCTCGTTGTGTAATAACTCATCTTTTTGTTTTGTTTTGGATCCAAGTTGTTTAAAAACTACCAGGGAATATTCCCAGAAATCATTCTGTTTACACTGACTAAATACGGTATCACATGTATGTCTATATTTAACGAAAGCCCTGCTGAATTGCCCCTCATGATAACTTATCATGTGCGAAACGTTATTCAAACCATTTCGTTTTGGGCTTAATATGTATTGTGTTTTTATTTATTTATTTATTTATTCAGAATAACATAGTAACTGTCGCCAACCATTCCGTTTGGGCTTTATAGTTTTTTTTTCAAATTTTATTCAGTAGCACATAGTAACATCCGCCAATCACTTCGAGTGTTGCTGCACTGTTCCAAATTATGAAATATATATAAGTATATATACGCAGTACAGAGAAACGTCCTAGATATACAGGCACTGCATAAAGTATGCATTTCATGCAAGATTATACATATATTTTATAATAAAGTACAACCAATTATTTGTGGAACCGTTATTGATAATACTATCAACAACAGAATAAAGGAATCAATAGTGAAATAAGCGTATATAACACAGAGATGGGTTAAACTGCTGTGAAGTGTATTACGGTTACGTCTGAGCTTTTTTTTTCTATGCAGGAGGTTCCTAAACTCACATTACCGCCAAGTTGTGTAAAGAGATATCTGAAAATCGAAACATTATTTGAAGTCCAGGAATTTGACGGATGGTTGCTACATCCAATATTTCGAATGTTTCTCTGGAGCGGCGAGGTAAGTCTGTGATGTAAGTAGTGACCATAGGTCGCAAATTGACGATCAAAAACGTCCCTGTCCAAGTTTTAGTTAAAAGGGGGAGGGGAGGAGGTAGGAGAAGCTCCATACCCGGGCCTCAACTTTTTTGTAAGTGAAAATAATGCAAAAATCTGTTAGTGAAAATTAGGTAACAAAGGGAAAAAAGTAGCAAATAGATCACAGTAATCATCTGACTATGAAAAAAACTCACCAAAGCGGCTCTTTCATCTTTCAGTTCTGTGATCCAACACCTGTGAAGAAAAAAAATCGAGCACTTAGATCGAGGCTTTCAAAGTTGCTTACTTACAAGCAACACAACATTTTATATTAGTTCCTGATGTATACTCAAACCATAAATAAACTTGACTGTATCACTGAAATCAGTGTAATTTTGAGCTGCACTATACTGGTAATATATAATTGAACATATCATGACAGTATTCGGTAATTTCTATATTAACAATCACTGAATCTACCGTGAGTGCATCTTCGTTCATTTCAATATTTGGAGATGCTTTACAGACTCTTTTTATCACATTGTTTAATTGCTCATATTTTCAACAAAACATGCTAGCAAGTTCATTCCTTAAGTACAAAAAGGTAATAAACCTAGTTTTCCCACTAATAGTTAACAGTGAACAAAAAATCTTATAACGATCGTGAAACCGTTAATAACAGTAGCATTATGTAATAGGATATGCAATACTCGTAAACTTGAAATGAGAAACACATTTCAAATAAACATATTAAATTCGCTGCCTCTGTTATACCTTAATGTGAATGAATTTTTAGTGCAGATACGGCCTGCATGGTACATCATTGAATCAAAAAATAATATTGATAATCGTTTTTCTGTCTTACTTAAAAAATGAAACTCAGAATTTTTTTCGAATTATATATTTTCACTGTGCTTACCGGTTGAAATTTTTACCAAGAGTGTCACTTCCTTGTTCGTTCACACCCGCCGCCAGTACCGCGAGCATCTGCCTATTAAACCTCAAATAAAAACCCTTGTGTAAATAAGCGCAATTTGCCACCAGATAACGCCACGTGTACAAAAGACAAAAGCATAACCAGCACTTTTATATCTATATACATTCTCTGCAGCGTGACACATTCTTCTAAAACAACACGCTCGCCATTAACCAAACCCATACTGTAAAATATTAAAAGCGCAAGGCGTCATTTCTGATCTGCAAAAACAATGAATTATTGACCTACCTGGCTGCCTTTAGTAAACCTGCAATTGGTAATGTATGTAGATTGAGACGGAAAGCCGGAAAATGGATCCCAGTCTGAAAGGGGGATCCGATGATTAGTAAAATAGATTGTTAAAAAAAACGTAGATAGCCTGATTTGTACTTTTCACGCCTCGTAAACAGCTAAGATAAACCAGCGTGAATAGTGTCTGCTGTCAGTGCTCAAGTCGGGCACTGCGGCTTATCTTAATCAATGGGCTGTCAATTTGCGAGCATCACTATAGTTTTTTAAGATGACATAAACATTGAATGCGACAGTTGAGATAAAAATCTCCGTCGCAATGGCCTTGTCGCAACTGCAGCAATCCGCAGCTTTCTTTATCTTTCCTCTTTTCCAGGAGCATAAATAGTAAGTCTCAGACAGTAAATCTCCCTTTCGTACGTAAAGCATTGAGTTTGCTCTCTAATTTAAATAATCAATATCATATTTTGAAATTTAACTAAGAGAAAACGCGTTCTTGGCTTTGTCAAGCTGGTTATTTTGTAAATACCACTTAAGTTAATCAGGATGCTAATTTCTTTGTAATATTCATGAGGTGAGTGATCTTAAACAGACTTTAATCGATTAGATGATCTCCTACTAGATGCTTACTATAAAAATGTGAGGGGAATACTGCTGTGTTTTTATACTTGATGTTTTCCTTTATTTTGAGAGCCAGTTACTTTATCGATTTGCCAGAAGTTGTTTCACAAAGACACTTCCTGTATCGGCGATTTAAATTGACACTTTTAGTGCTACTTAGCCGTGGATTAATGTCTTATATGCTGCTGGTATTACTTTACGCTCCCTGGTTACTCGGTAAAGGGCGCATTCCCATAGATTTAAGATCGATCTATCCCCGTGGGGAGTCTCACTAGATTACTTTCAGATAATCCGGCTTAAATGTCCGTCCCTCCTACTACAAGCTGTAAGGGGGTAATTAACTTTCGTGCCCGCTCGGCTGACAGCTATTTAGCGTGAACCCCAAGGGAGTTAGGTCGATCCAGTTGGATCGATCTAATCTCTGGGAATAGGGTCAAAGACACTAACTGTAATCTCGATGAAATCTGAAATTTACTGTGATTTATCTCAGTATGACTCTGAGCTTCAAAAATTGAAAAAATGGATAGTATTCATTTTTAATTGAAATAGGAAATATATAAGTGTATAAATGAATTTATTAGCAAAATAACATTGTCAAATAGAAAAATGAGCAAACAAATGAAAAACAAAAACAATAAACGGAATAATTTCTTATATTTTTTTGTCAGAAACAACTTCACTGCATTTTGCCAACTGGCGAGCGTATTATTTTCCGTAGTGAATTTTGTGCAATGTATATCAAAAGTCGATAAAACAAAACCAACAATTCACCAAGTCTGTTGCTCCTCATTATGTTGAATGAAAGTGGATGACAATCGTGCACATGAATACCGTGCGTCACCTTTTCCATGAATAGAATATTGTGAGCTTAAACGATATTTAATGACTAAACCATGTTTAAGTGTTTTTCACACTAGGCTATAAAAAGTCAAAAGATGCTATTCTCAGATTTTTCAGTGAAGTTGCATGTTATATCTATTTAATGTGCTCATTTTCATCACGAAAGGCAGGGTTCTCTTACGTCTTCTTCAGGGATAGTGCCAACAGCAATCAAGAGATACCTCTAACGACGAAATTCGTGGTTAATGTAGCTGGTAATCTAAACAATTTAAAACCAATTTGAAAGCAGCAGTTTTCAGCTATTCATTGGACTTGCTGGCAGTTGATATTATGGGATTATAACGTTATATAGTCTATTATAGATCGTTAGGGGAATTTCCAGTTCGGTTAGGCCTTCTTATGAAATAGCTTAGAAAATTAGTGTATAATATCGCGGTGATGAATGATGACGTAATTGTATGAGTATTCAGTGTTATGCGCCTTGCATGGTAACGCTGCAGCTTTGGATGTTGAGATTAGAACTAGTAAAACAATCAAACAGTAAAAACAGGTTTACTCTCGTCGTTCCCTTCTTACGGAGCCTACAGCTTGCTCTATAGCTAATAGCACAACATTCCACACAATATTATTTGGGTCTATCTTGAAATTCACGAGCTCTATCCAGTTCAAAATTAGTTCCACCAGAATAGCAACTCCTGGCGCCCTCTAGTGAGCGAACGAAGCGTAACGTAAACACAGCGTATGATTGGGAAAACATGTGCAACAATGGTCGCGGCCCTTTCGCGATAGATCCCTCCTCCTGGAGCTTTGTCTCGAAGAATACGTCTCATTTTCTGTTTCAGTGGCGCAACCCAAGGGCAGACAAAAGTAAGGAGGGAGCAGCGTGAATTGAATTTCATGCTTATTTATCCCCCACAAATTCCATCAACGAAACCTGAATTTACAAAACACGGGGACAGAAAAGAACAAAGCTCAAGGGCCATTGGAACTTGGGAGACGTGATAGCAGCTAACGAGATTTCCGTTGTCTTTGAAAAGGGGATTGAGGATGAAGCGGAAGGTGCACGTTATCTAGACGGGGCATCTGATAACACTGTGGATATACTAGAGCGGCGATGAATGGTCGGGAATGTGACAAAAATTAGCGTCGAATTGTCCGCACGTCAGTTTTAGAAGGATACATCTCAGGGAATGGAAACGCAACGTACGTCGCGGAGATGAGGGCGGAAAAGGAAAACTACACCCCTTCTAGGAAACAGCCTAGGTTTATTTTCGGGGGATTTTTTATTACTTGGATAATATTGTGTCAGATTCCGAGAATCACATGTTTGAACACGGTAACAATCTACGGCCTTTTCCCGCTGACTGGGCCCCAGTCCCAAAAAGGTCTTGCCCAACTTAGGGGGGCACGTCTCGCTGTCTTGGACGCCTTAGGACAAAACAAGACCCTTGGAAACTACCTGATAAACTTTGCCTACAATGACTCCAAGGTAAGATTCAATTAGTTGGTAAGAACACATCATAATTATAACTCCCACATTTATTTTATTTCTATTTTCTTGGCACTTTTAAGAAATCAACAAGACTGTATGGAATTACCAAATACATTTTGGTGAGAATGACTCCATGGCAAAATGGAGTCAGTTGCTGTATGCACTCTTTCACTCCCAAACATATAATTTTGTTTTTATATTCTTGGCACTGCTAAGAGATGAACTGCGAATTTAAACCAAGGGGAGAGGCCACTTTAAAGCTATGTGTAGAATATTACATAAAATTGATCTCGTGTTAATTGTCATAATTTCCAGTTTAACATGAGGAATCATTATCCTTATTTCATATATATATATAATTCCATGTGGCCGAAAGATCAATACCTGAAGGATTACAACCCACATGTTTTCGCACCAGTTACGTATTAATATTTTGAAACTGAAACGCCCTTCAAAATTAAAAGGAATAATATGTGAGATTAAAACGCTCTACAACTGTCATTTAGACAAATAACAAGGAATCTAGTAATGCCCTATACAATATTGCAGTGCGTTGACCTATGTAAAATATACCCACGGTAATCCCCGCCAGATCTGTATCACGACATTCTTTTCATCATGCTGCGACCCTCATTACTAAGATTTCATAATTTCACAGAAATATCGGAAAAACGACATGGAGATTATTTCATACTGATGATGTAAATCCGCCTTGAAACATGCGACGAGCATGGGAAGGCCACCACGTCTGGCGTCCTTTACGACATTTAAGGCACCAAAGATCGATTCCTAGCTTGTGACAAACATAAGTTATCTCTTGGCATTTCACTTCTTTGATTTTGCGCTCTCTCCCCCCCCCCTGCCCCCCCCCCACCCCTCCGGGCAAATCACTATATAATTATGTTGGTTACATAGCGGTCATGTTCATAGTTTATAAGCCGTGTTAGTTGTCTTCGGTGTGAGGATGTGTGACTTAGTGTCCATATAATATAGGGCAGATATTTGCTTACTTGCCTCAGTTTTTACTGGTCAGCCTAAATTTTAGGATGGGACCATTATATCTGGTGATAAAGATGTGTAAAGCATATGCCTCTTTTTCGGTTTTACTCTGTTTGTCTTATTACAAAAACATACCACTTAGGTCGGGATTATTTGATGTCTGCTGAGGTTAAAAAATTCTTTAATTTTCTAGTATCATATCATCAATATGGTTAGGCTAGGAATGTGATTACATTTTAGATTGGAATAAATTTTCAAAATTTAGATTGTTTAATATATAGGAAAATACCAACATCATGAGTAAACCCAAAAAGAATTCATAGAGATTTTACCTTTCAACTATTGGATATCCTTATCAGATTCCAGTTATAATAATAATCCTGATGTTACACAGTTGTAGGGAGCCGCAGTTCAACACACTGATAACATTTTTGTAAGGTAACCGCGTGGAGTTGAACTGGCAATTAAGATGACGATAAAAAGCGTGGCAATAAATTTTCTCCAACTGAAAATCAGATATCTGACCGATTTATCAGATTCGGCGAGGTTGAATTAGGTCTGATTTCATCGAGAGGAAAATAAGAAGAAAAATAAAACGCAGGTCTGTAGTGATTGAAAAAAAATCAAATTAGTGAGCGAAATATGAACAACTTTAATCCGAGCGCGAGGGGATACTTGAGAGAAAAATGATAATTTCTTATGTGAATAAACTGGAGATCAGTGCTTTGTTGGGACTCTATCGAGTGCAAAGTCAAGTGTCTTCGGAGTGAACCGACGCGTGGATGGATTCTATCTCGCGCAGTCTAATTAAGAGACAAAGATCAAGCCGAGGCGTCTTAACTCGTTGTCTCATTAACGGTACTTTGACACGCTGAGAGATGACTTTTAATCTACTTCTTTAAAACGTAATGTTCATATTGATAGAAAAAGTTGTCGTGTTCAAAATGCTGCAGTTCAGAAACCGCTTTTTCCCCTTCTTTATTATCATGAATTATATACTTGAACGGTATATAATCAAGTATGGATCAAAGGGAAGTTCTATATGTAATAATAGGATTAATGCAGAATACTGGCGACTGTAGGTAACGCTTAACCATGCCTCTGCATTCAGGTTCATTCAGAGGCAAAATCTTGTATTGTGAGGTAAAAAAAGTGGAATTAATTTCATTGACTTTTTTTTTCAAAAAACGTATGTTTACTTGTCAGTTCCCGCGCGCGAGGACCCTACTCGAGCGTCCGTCTCTGTAAAATGACAGCAGTCGTCTCCGTAAAATGTCAAGTGTGCAGCCGCCTGTCGTACCAAAGACTAGAACGCATGCAGTGTTCATATCTCCTATTTCTTCTGCTGGGCTGCTTTCGTTGACAGGTTCGCTTCGATCGTAAATGACAAATTCATTGTCTGCAAGTGCAGCAGTCCTGCGCCATAATACCATTCTCTTCGATATTATCGTGGGGAGAAAACACTGTTTTGAAGGATTAGAGAGAAAGAACTGGTGTTCATGTTGCACTTGAGGGTTCAAAGATAAAGTGGCGTAGACCAAGCATACTAAAACAAAAATTGATATGTTGTGATAGTGCGTTTTAGGGATAAAAGAAAACAGAGAAAAATGCACCAATGCTAGAGGACAATACCCAAAATGCGACCAGGCAGCAAATTGCCCAAAATCTCCAGTTTGCCCTTTGTCCGGGGAAAATCGAGTTTATCTAGAAAAAGAAGAAAAAAAATGTCCTCATTTCGCGTCTATGAACTCCTTGTCAGAATGGTCAATAAAGTCGTTTCAATTTTCCCGTCGCTATATTAGCAACACTTACTCCCGCGGCAGACCCCTGCCGAAATCAGCAAAGCCGGAGTAGTCACTGCAGAGTGATAATCCATCTTCGATCTTTATTAAAGACTAGCATTAAAGCCAAGGGTGGCAGGTAAATTAACCTTAATAGGTATGTCTGATGCCTAACAGGGGTGCATCAGAAAAGGTTATGTTTGTGGAAGTTGTAGAAGAGTCAAGAACTCTTGTTGAATAGCATACGGGTCTGAAGCCAGCAGTTTAAAATGAGGGGGGGGGGGGGGTCTTGTACTGAAGGGGGACTTTTTCCCCCCCCCCCCCCCTTTTTTCTTTTTTAGAAAACGCCAAAAACATGCGTTGGGTCAAAGAGCTCAGAC